AAAATACTAATCTGTGTCATATTTGTAATATCTTCTCTGAAATCTTTATAAGTATAATATATTCTAATTAAAATTATATATTTTGTATAAACTATCTTTTAAAAACTTAAAATAGTATTTAAACAAATTTTTTTAAATTAATTTTCAGAAATTAAATTAATTTTCAGAAATTAAAATTTCAGTTATATTAACAATCAATATTTAATCAATATTTTTAATATGTACATAAAGAGATTTTTAAAAAAGTAGAATTAAAATTAATTTTTTGAATTTTAAATACAATATCGGATATAAATTATTATATATAGTCATAAAATTTCATGTAATTATGTTTGAAATAGTATCATGTTAATAATAATATACCATATGTATATCCCTATTCATAGATTATGTTGTTATTATAATGCCAATATCATTCGCAGGTCAAATCGTACACGCGACTTATGTCAAGCATTATATGAAATAGAAGACTGAGAATCCAACACCATAAACATTTTTGATTGTTACAATCATTTAAAATTTGAATGTTCATTTTTAATTCGCGGAAACGGATGTAATGAAAGCGGAAGCTGTGACAGTGTTTATAAGATCATTTGCAATTTTGCTGGAAAGCACCTGTACAATCTTGTCCGAATAAGTACTTACAACAGTGCCGTGAATAGGGGTCATTCGTTCCTCCCGATTTCCCCAACTAAGAGAAGACACTTTGATGTTCTCATTCCCAATTCCCAATCCATTCTGATTGCGAGGCGAAATATGTGGCTTAGAAGTTCTATCTATCTGAGGTGCTTTACGATCTCCCAACTAATGGAATTATGTAATTATGCGATTGCTATGTAAATAAGAGAATAAAAAAAAAAGAAAAGAACGGATTGTAGCGCGAAATTTTTCATACCTGCAACAAATTTGGACTCGAATAAGAACGCTCTAAACCAGTATTAATGGATGAACTATTCGTCTTCAAAGGTTCCTTGTGAATATCGTTATCATTTTGCTTCAGTATCTCCTTGTGTTCTCTTTGTAAGAAATCTCTGTAATCACGTAATGATATAAATTAAAACGAGAAACAGGTTTGATTATTAAATGCAATTTTAATAATGGCGATATATAAATTATCGATAAAAGTACCTGACTGAAGGCAAAAAGTAAATTAATACAGAATAAGAAGAAAAAAAAATCGATATAATCATGGCAAATAACAGAAGATATTTCACAGTTTAACTTTTAATCACGTAGCAACAATTGTCTTTCAGTTTTTTTCTTTTTAATTATTTAAAAATTATATCGTATTTAGTTATAAATAATTATTTATTATATTAATTATTAGTTTTATTATTTAATTATTTAGAATCTATTTTTTAAAAACTATATATGTAAAAACTATATACATCACTCGTTAAAACTACTGTAAATAAGAAAATATAATCGATATAAACATGATAAATAACAAAAGATATTTCACAGTTTATTTCAATTTTAACTTTTAATCACGTGACAACAATTGCCTTTTCGGTTTTCCTTTTTAATTATTTAAAAATTATATTTTATTTAGTTATTAGTTATAGTTAATTATTTATTATATTATTTATTAGTTTTAGCTAATTATTTATTATATTTATTAGTTTTAATTAGTCAGAAATTATTTTTTAAAAACTATATGTGAAGGCTATATTCATCATTCGTTAAAATTACTAAAAATAAGAAAAAATAATCGATATAAACATGGCAAATAACAGAAGATATTTTACAGTTTATTTCAATTTTAACTTTTAAACACGTGGCAACAATTGCCTTCTAGTTTTTTCTTTTGAATTATTTAAAAATTATATTTTATTTAGTTATTAGTTATTTAATTATTTATTATATTAATTATTATATTAATTATTAGTTTTATTTAATTATTTAAAAGCTATATTTTTAAAAACTATATATGTGAAAACTATCATTCGTGAAAACTGCACGTAACCTGCTTTTTCCAAACTAATCGCAGGACACATTTTCCCTATGGGTTTCTCAAAATCCCTTTAAAAAAAAAAACGAAATCTCATTATCTCCTCCCCGCCCAATCCCAAAGTTTCATACTTGAAAAATGTAATTTCGGCGGCTCTTTCAGATCGCCATATTAGTTTTATGCATTGTAAATAAGAAATGACATGCAATAAATTAATTGCTATACAGCTTTATTTTTTAGCTTTTCCTTAAAAACATAACAATTTCGTGAGCCTGAAACTTGTAAAATACGGGAAACAGACATCTGCCCGATCTGTGACGTAAAAATATAAGATAAAAACTTCTGAAATAATTTTTTAGCCATACTGAAGCGGCCGTGATAGCTGAGTACGACTGAGGAATGATCTATTATTTCAAGAATTATTTTACATTCTACATGACAGATTGGACAAATGTCTCAGTTTTCTGTACATTTTAGTACCAGGAGTATCTTGTTTTATGTTTTATGTTTTCTATATGCAAGAATAATTAATTTCTCATGAAATTTATTTCGAATATTAATAAAAATATTAACAAAAATTTATTACTATTATAACTGATTCAAAAATTTATGATATACAAAAATATGTCCTTTGCAGTAAAAAATGAAGCAATTCTATTTTTTTCGTTAAAATATTTTATAAAATAATATAAACAAATATAAATAGCTATTATCTCTAGTTTGTACTAGAGTACTAGTCCCTTTCTTCTATTATTGTTGAAGTATAATATTATATACTTTCATATATTATAAATAAAATTAATAAAATATGTATACATATATATTTACTCTTGTAACTTTTTCCTCTTGGTTTCGATATCTTTGATTTCATTCTTCAATAAAGAGAGAATAAATTCAAAATTCTTCTTTTCATTGTCATCAACAGAATTAAATTGAATTGGTTCTGCTTCTTTTAAATACGTATTATACTCGTTTTCAATTTTGAGATACATTTTGTGCTGTAATACAAATAAGAATATTTAATATTATAATTTAATATTATAATATTATAATACAATTAGATCAAGATTTGTAACTTTTAACCTCTCTTCCAACCAATAAATCGATATAGTTTATCAAAAATAAATAAAATAATATCGTACCATATCCTCCAATTTAACTTTCAAAGATTTTATTTCTGCGCGTAGGTACTTCTCATCACTAGCATTATATTTGTCCTCACGTTGCGAATAGAGCTCGTATTCCTGACTCAACAATTCGTTGGCAAGTTTTGCTTTTGATCTCGCCAGTTCGTTCAATTCTTTCATAAACCTCAATACTTCCTTACATCGCGGATCGTACGTTTTCAAGGTAATCGGTTTATTGCTGCGATCGATTACCGGTTTTGCGCTCGCTTCATTTTGTGGTACTTTATTTGATATTTTATGCTGAGGTGGTGGATTTTCTGAAGTTTCTAATTGTGCAGTTGAATTATCACTCCGAAATGGTCGTTTATCATCAACTGATATTGTTACATTAGTAACAAAATTGTTAGATTTAGCCGAAGAAATAACATCGTTACTATTCGCGTTGACATGCTTAGAGATTGTCGATTTGTTATCACCATGATCCATTTCTACATCAATATCCTTATTAGGCCTTCTCGAATTATTCAATATGTTCTTTCTTCTTCGTTCTTCTTTCAAAATCTCATCTTCCTCGTCTGAATTTACCCAATCTGGATATTCAAATGATTCCAATATATCATCCTCAACGTTGTTGAATTCAGGTATTTTAATATTTGGATTTGTTGTAAATGCTGGATACCGATTCAACCATTCCTGATAACCTCCATTTAGAATCTTAATTTTCTTGTACTTTTTACCGGGATCCCATTTCTCAAAAATATCTTTCAACAAATTTAGATGAGCATAGGGCTGTGTTAAAGTCTCTTGAGTAGCATTCCAATCTAGTAAGACTAAAACATCCACGTATTGCATTGAACGATTAATAAACAAATCATGTGAATGCTTATCTTTTATAAAACATTTTTCAAAATGAGAGGCCAGCATCCTATAAATAAATCCATTAAAAAATTATTGGTATAAATTAAGAAAAACACAATAATTATAACATAAAAAAATACAGAAAAAATTATACAAAAATGCTTACCCCTTTTTAATTTCAGACTGTGGAATGTTAATACATTTATCAGACAATATCTTGGAACTTTCATAATGGGCCTTCTGCCTGATATCAATAATTAAATATCTAACACCTATCTTTTGTATTAAATAATACAATTGATCGCATGATATAAACTTATCATTATCACTATCACTATATAAACTTATATATAATGGATCTTCAGTTGGTATTTCTGGCAATTTTAAACCAATGTCGCCATTGGGCACTTCAAAATCATCCATTTCTACCTCCATTGTTTCCATTATATCATTGTGCTTCTTGGAATTAAGCTCGTAACGTACCTCTAATTTTTGCTTCAAGTTTGCAAGTATGTTTTTGGCTTCATTTATCTATAATATAAACATTCATGTATTCCGCAGTCTGTATACAGCGATATATCAGATCAATTGCTCTAGCAACAATAACAACACCACTACTTTTTACCTGATCAACAGTCATGCTCGTGACATAACTCAACTTGCCATTCTTGTTATGAGTTCTCCTAAGCCACTCGACCGAATCGATCCATCTTTTCAACATGATATACGCGATCTCGTCGTCCCCATCCTTTCTTGCCTGATCACATTTCTGTCGCATAGCGGGAAGCCTCTGGTACACGCTACGAGGCTCCTTCCCCGCGAAATTGATTTTGGCTTTTTGGACGAGATCATTGACACAGGTATACGACAGATTTGTCGCGTCAGACATGCTGCCAATCCTCGGAGGTTCAGATTCGCAGCGTGATATCGGGACCGACCGGCATCCAGAGCACAGGTAACGTACACAGCGCAGTTTGGCTGTCGGCCAAAGGATGAACGTTACGATCCCCCTAATCTACTTAGGACTGCGACATAGTGGCACGTAGCGATTTGGATGGCGACGGTTATCATTCGGCGACGTCGCAGGAACGCGCGAGGTGCTATCGATCAACGTGTGTCGTCGTTAACGTCATCAAGGAAAGCCTCGCGCGATATCTAATAAATGGAAGATCTTCCTACGCGAATTCGCCCTCCGACCAGGCGTACCCGGGGCAACCTTCTCCACGGCGATCTCCTGCGTTTCGATTCAAGGTTCTCCTAGCAACTGTAGATGTCAGCTGCGCCGAGGTTAGCTCGTCCGGTCACGATGACAACAAACGACGATTCTCCAATACGGAGACTCTTTCCAAGGCGCACCTTTAAGGCTACATCGCAATGTTGGATTTCTTTTTGCACAATCGGATATTCTGCGTTTTATCAGCATCCTTTTCCAAAAAAAGTTTGTTCTAACAAAAATTGAAAAAAATACATTTAATATTAATAAAATATTATTGTTGTTATTATTATTATTATTTTTATTATTATTATTATTGTTGTCTTTCTGGAGAGGTAAAGAGGTGAAGATGAAACCATGCAAGAAGTTAAAAAACGAAACAGGCTCTTTTTTAAGGATTTTCAATTCGTATAAATCGTAATCGAACGATTTCAGAAATGTCAAATTCAGACTTTCAGCGTCCAAAGTCCACTCGTATTTTCTATAAGAAACAGATTTCATATATTATAACTAGTGCCGATGGACTGATTACCTGCTCGCGGTGAGACGTGAAGAGGCGTCTCTTTCGGAATATCATACGAAGTGCACTCCAGTGCACTCTGTGCAATGATTCATGGCGATACGTGACAGTAGTTTTCGGAGCTTTAGTCTCGTTCGGACAGTATTTATATAGTAAAGACACAAAATATCGATCTGCCTAAAGTGGTCGGGCAATCGTCACGATATTTCAGAGCGAGTTTCGCCGATACTCCGAGTGTACGTATCTTCTCGTCGGCGATATCACTGTCGAATAGCAGCTGACAGGATGGACGTCCTGAACAAACTTCGTAATACAGTCAGTAACACTATCAGCAATACCGTCCAGAATACGGCGTACGGTTTGTCACAATTGTCCAGCGTTCTGCCGGGCAACCCAGTTACCAGAGAATTCGAGGCGACCGCGCATGTGGCCAGTGCTGGGCCAGGATTGTTGTGGAAGATCTACAGTGGTTACAAGAAGTCAACCAAGCAGGAAGCAGCAATCTTTGTCTTCGAGAAACGCATGTTGGAGAGATGGTCGTCCAAGGCGGATCGCGAACTCGTGCTAGAAACCCTGAAGCGAGGTGTAATGCAGCTGACAAAACTGAGACACCCACAGGTTCTGACTGTACAGCATCCACTGGAGGAGTCGAGGGACAGTTTGGCATTTGCGACTGAACCAGTATTTGCTAGTCTGGCTAATGTATTAGGTATAGGTAAACAGATTTAGATTTAGATTTATTCCACAATAGAATATTCCACAATAGAATTACAAAGTTTCTGCCTGCTTATATAGCAGTTTGAATAATATATATGCAATATTTAGTATGCAATATTACAGAGATTAAATTAAATTGCATTAATTGATATTGATAATCTTGTTTTACTTAGTATAGAAAGTTTTTACATATGAGATATTGTAGGTAACTATGAGAATATACCTCAACCGACTCCAATAAATTTGAAAGACTACAAATTACACGACATAGAAATACGTTATGGATTGCTGCAATTGGGAGAAGGTCTGGCGTTTTTGCATGGTGATGTGAAACTGTTACATAGAAATTTATGCCCTGAGTCTATTGTTATTAATATTCATGGGGCTTGGAAGATATTTGGTTTTGACTTCTGTGCCTTAAATCAAAGTTCAGACAGCAAACAGGTATGATTCATTAATTGATAAATATTGATTAATCAGCTATAATTCTTTTAAGATAACTGAAATTGAAAAGTGATATGTAGAAAATTTTATATTTGAAATAAAAATATATCTGTACTATACAATTTTATATATATATATATATATATATATATATATATATGTGTATATATATATTATATATATATATATATATATATATATATATATATGTGTATATATATATATATATATAAATTACTTATTTAAGAATTAATTAATTTAATTAATTATTACAATTTGCACAATTTATATGAATTATTTCTTAATTGCAGCCATCATGGCCATATCTGGAATATGATTCTACATTCCCAGCAGTTGTGCAACCTCATTTAAATTATCAAGCGCCTGAATGCATATTAGCGAGTAGCAATGGACCACCTAGTGATATTTTTGCTTTGGGCATGCTAATATACACAATACATTCTTCAGGACATCAACCACTTCAAGAATTTCACAATGATTTAGGAAAATGTCGACGTTTTTTGGAAAATTTCAAAGGATCCAATGTTTCGGCAAAGTTGCTTCCAATCCCTGAGACTTTAAGAGATACTGTAAAACTTATGCTAAGTCATAATCCCGAATTGCGATTGGATGCTCATCAATTTATTAAAGTAGTTAATTTCCTTTTTTCTTAAATAATTTATTTCACGTCATCAAACTCAAAAATAATCGATATTATTATTATTATTATTATTATTATAGATTGAATATTTTACTGACATTGGTGTTAAGACATTAAATTACTTGGACAAGTTATTCCAATGGGATAATCTTCAAAAATCACAATTTTACAAAGGTCTCCCACAACTATTAAAACAATTGCCACATAGAGTTGTGCTGCACAGAGTATTGCCTGCTCTTTATAAAGAGTTAGTTAATCCACCCATGATACCGTTTGTATTACCGAGCATATTGCAAGTAATGGAAGCAACGGAGGTAGAGGAATTCCGAGAACATATCCTACCTAATCTGAAACCTGTTCTTGCTTTAGAAGATCCACCACAAGTAAGCATATAATAACAAAATATGTAATAAATTAAAAATGCAATAATTAAATAAAATATTTATACAGTTCTAATAGAATAATGAATAAAATATATTTTTTTATAGATTAGTCTAGTTCTCATGCAACAAGTAAATTTATTATTGAAATTGTGTCCCATGGACGTCATTAAGACCGACATTGTGCCTATGTTATTGCGGGCATTGGAATCCGAATGGGAACAGCTCCAAGAGCTCTGCTTATCGGCATTGCCGAACATAGTAACGACGATCGATGGACCAGTCATAAAAAATGCCATACTTCCGCGAATGAAAAAAATATGTTTGTCATCTGGAAAGAAATCTACTAGTCTTGGAATACGCGTTAATTGCTTGCTGTGTCTTGCGAAAATGTTGCCAAGCTTTGACCGTTGGCTGGTGTTCGATCAGATATTACCGTTCCTACAAGAAGTTCCTCATTCTGGCGAGCCAGCTATTTTAATGGCTATTATTGGTAATATATGTATCTTTGTATATACAAAGAAATAATATAAAATTATATTATATAAAATAAAAATATTATAATATATAAAAATATTATATTATATAAAATAAAAATATAAAATAAAAATATTTTTATGTTGGCAGGTATTTATAGGATGTTACTTACTCACAGTAAGTTAGGTATGGGCAAAGAAATATTGGCGACGAAGGTATTACCGTTTCTGTTGCCTCTTTGTATAGAACAAAATCTTAGCATGTCTCAATACGAAATACTTTCTACGCTGGTCGTCGATATGATAAATCGAGTAACTAGTGAACACCGAGAAGCATTACGACAACTGGACGCTGTGCGTCGTGAGACACAACAATTCGATCAGGCGCTTTCACAAGTAGTGTCGCCTAGCTTTATGCAAAACAACGGTTTAAGCGACATTAATTTAACGCCTCAAGTTTCCTCTCCGAACGCTAATTCTAAAACTGTAAATATTGAAAATGGACTAACCATGGAAGATAAATTCAGGTTGGTTTCAGCAACAAATGTTTCAAAGACTTTATACATCTCATCCAATATATTAATTGTAATGTTAAATAACGATTAATATTTCAGATTAATTCAGCAACAGGAAACACATCAAAGATTACAGTCTCAACCTATATTGACTCCGAAAGCTATATCACAACCTGTAAAATCGCAACCGAAGGATTTAACTGCGACTTTGCTGAAAAACAATCTAGATGAGCTAAATCTATCTATGTCAAAAGCGACTATGTCACAACCGGATTATTTGGCTACTAAAAACACTCCATATAAATATAACGACGCAATTAATCTATCGCAATCGCAATCACAATCGCAATTTTTAACGTCTCCAACGCAAGCGATGTCGAATAGACCAATGAATTGGAATTCCAATGGAATGAACGTGCCAATGAACTGGAATTCTCCACAATCCATGATGTGGAACTCTATTATAATACCCCCCAGAATAATATGAATTTTACGACGCAACCAGAAATTAAACCAAACTTGAACTTTTCCGCAACTTTGCAGCCTTTCATGTCACCCACTAATACGCAAACTAATGCAAACAAACCAAATTCCTCCACACAAGATATCATGGATTTGCTTAGTTAATAGGTTAAATTAGTGTTAAATAAAAATTTTAAATTATCGATAAAATGATAGACAACTACATTGTTAGAGAGTAATATGAAAATATTACAATAACTGTAATATATACATATTCTTCTCGTCTGATGGAATTTCTGATAACATCAAAGGTGAAAGTCATCTTTGATATATAATAAGAAAAAATGTAAAAAAGAAACATTTTTTATATTAGCACAAGCAATCAAAGATTGCAATATTAGACCAATATTAAATAATGTTTTTATTGAATACTTATATTGAGGCTGTTTCGCGTAGAGTAATTCAACTGCAGATCAAATTGCATCTTAAGAAATCTTGAGGAAAAAGTTATTATCGGAGAAGAGTATATTTATTTAACATAAAACTAATACATTCATATAGTATTTTTCAAATAAACACTCGTCTTGATAGTATTCTTTTTTTGTCTCCAATGTTTAAGATGTTTACGATCGGACTTTATATAGTCTTGTGTAAATTGTCAGAATATCACATATTCTGTATATCTATATTTCTTAGTTTAACATCATTTATCAATGTTATTGATAATTAAAAAGTTTATATATGTTGTAATTCTTCTTTGAGATCCTCGTCAGTTGTAATTGTATTTCCTGTTTTAATATTTATAAATCATTAAATAGATATTTCTGAATATATTTGAAGTCAACCGTGAATAAATAATATTAAATTAATACTGTACGCTAAATATGAAACTAGTTATAAGTTACTACTACTGAATGAAGAGTAGTAACTTCGAATGTGATAATAGAGTGGAAGTCACAATTTTTTATACAAAAATATATGTTTTTATCGTGATTTAATCGCCATACTTCCTCATGCTTCGATGTATATATAGCTTGCTCGTGGGATGAAAGGAAAATTAATGTAAAAATTATTTAATAAAGGCATTGCTCATTCCAGTATTGTGGACTGCCATTTCTATTCCATACTTCATGATTTACATTAAGATTATGTATATATATATATCATTCTGTAAATCTTATTAATACAACTGTTGTCTGCTATTTACTTTGTTTTTATTGTATCACAGAATTTATATAAACATGTAAACTTTGCAGAAAAAAGTGTATTTTGTAATATATTTCTGTATTATTATGAAATAATCAAATGTATGTTTTAGGCGATTAAATAAGGGGCGATTAAAATAATTCATTAATTTTATTCGAAATTTTGTGCATGAAATATATGTCATGTCTATATATTTTAAGTTACTGTATAAACTTCTTTCGTCGTATATATGTGCTATTGAAATAAGTTCACATGAAGTTGTAAAAAGAAAAGAAAGTATAAATTGTATGTACACATTTGTAATATTATCCTAAATTTATTTGTTGTTTATTCTGTTGTTGAGTACGATTGTTAATAATTGGTGTTTAAATCTAATAAAAAGCTGCTTAAAATGTTACCGCTTATAACACTTAAATATTGCTTTTTTATTTTACTCATTATTAATTGCACCACTATTAAGTTTTAATTATTAATTATATGCAAAAATTTGTTTTCTTTTATTATCCATAAGAGTTATATTACATTATATTACATTATATTACAGAAACATTGCTACAATATTACTAAACTAAAGTATTTTGTACGGTTTTTAGAACAGTAATTAAAAATTAAAATTCTTGTACAAAGATTAAGAATGATTCGACCATTTTTAACAGATATTACAATATTATCGCCATAGTTAAATATGTTAATATCAATAATTTGATAATAATTTAATATTCTCACATTTTTACAAAAAAGGAGATCTATGTTAGCAGAAATTGTTTTTATTCGAGTTATATTTTTTTATCCACGCAATCGTTTTCCACAATCAACTGCGAGCATGCAATGGGAGATGTAAATCTGCAATCGAAAAACAAAGGTTCACGTTGAAAAGGGACGTTGCCCCATAGTTGTCGTTCGTCATAAAGAACCACCGATTCCTTTGTTCTCGGAACATCGCGCAATTAGGTTTCGTAGACGCCGATAGCCGTGCGTGTGCAGCGGTGGAGAAATGCTGGAAGTATCGATTATTCAAGCTGTAGTATCGTCGCCGACGAGAGTTGCAAGAAGAAGCGCCGGGATAAAGAGAATGCTGCCCCTTCGTCGAGCAGACAGACGATAAATAGGAAAAATTCGACGAAACGAAAAAGGAAAGATTTTTAAATGAGGATTGCCGCACTCGTTAATTGGCTGAATATGCCTTCCTGCAACAACCCTTCGTTCTCTTTAGACTTGCAGCTACGAAGGGTTGCATACAAGTGGCTCGCGCCCCGGGAAGTTAAGCACTTAAACCCTCGTTTTGTTTGAGCGTTGCTCGCGATAATTATCTGCGTCTCGTTATCTAACGTTTTATTAAGGGATAAAAAAAACGTAGACTTTAGAAGAGGAAACATTCTCTTTGCACCGCTGTGTGTGCAAATCTTTCTGCAATCCTATGTACTTATTTACTAAATAAAATTGGACCGTTTTGTTTGAAAAAAAGATAAGACTAATTAATATAAATAGAAAAATATTAATTAAAAAAAGAAAAATATAAAATAGTTTTAATAATTTTAATAAATTTCTATTTATGTAAAATATAAAATTATTAATTAAATATGATAGAAATTATGGCAGATATTAAAATTTCCTAATTTGATGTTTAACAAATTTAAATCGACTCGATTTAATCAAGTTACTTAAAAATATATTAAAAATTATCTTAATTATATATATTATTTTGGCATAGATAATTTTTTTAAATAATTTGTTCAAATTAAAATTAAATGCGTATGTATGATAATAAGTATATTATAAATATATAATTCATAATACATTTATATTTTATTATTATTTTAGATTTCCAAAAGTGCCCTTAATAAAGCCCCTTCAATGAAGGAAATAAAAAGATGTATGTCTTATATTTACATTTAATGTACAAATTATGCTTCTTTCCTCTCTCTCGAAACATTATATTACAATGGCTGTTCTCATTCAATATTACTAACACCAACCTTCACTTTCTTAGCGCCAATATTGCTCAAAGCCACCCCCGACTTTGGCGCCTTCGCGATCATTTCTTTTCGTTGTTCCTTCGGATATCGAATCGTCCCCTCTAACGGAATTGGCCTTGCGTTTCCGGTTCCAAAAATGTGTAATAGCATGGTATATAGATCGAGCATTCATTCATAGAAGCCAACCTTCTGTCATAATGCTCGCCTCCAAGGCGCACCCCGCCGAACGATGAACGGGGGTGCAGACGGCGGCGGCGGTGGCGGTGGTGGCGATTCGACCCTATCCGACAGGGAAAGAGGGGTGGCCGGCGACCCCGGCTTTAGTCGCGATGTGCGCGTCGCCCCATCGCAGTTGCTCTCTATTTCGCGTTTCTACGGGATCTCTCGAGCAAAAATCTCGCTTCAATCACGTCGCGAATTTCTTCCTAATTTTAAAATAATCCGAAACGAAAAAAATGATGGTGATATCTCAACAATTCGACCAAATTGTTGCAAAGAAAAATTAACTATTTAATTTCTGATCTTCGTCGATCTCTATCTAATCTGTGCTCTTGTCTTCACTCGTGTCATCGCGATGTTACTAGCGTCGTAGTGTTGACAGCAATTCTAAGGAAACAATCGAAAAACATGACAAAGAATTTATCTCTCCCTGTATTAACTCGGCAACCGCATATGTCGCAGCTATGGACTTATTTTTAAGAATTTCATAAATAAAAATTAGAGACTTATTTCTTGATTGTTAGAGAAAAAGAACAGAGGAAACCAAGAAGAAAAAAGACAGAGTAAGAATAGTGTCGATTTCTCAGCCTCCCGACACTCATAAACATCGTCGGAGTTCTCCCTCGGCGGGAGGGTAATTTTGTGTGTCCGTCGGAGGGTCGACCCTCGGAGTCGCGCGGGGATGCGCGCGAGGGTGTTTGTACGGCGTGGATAGGCGAGCCGGCAATTTCGCGTGTGGCTCTCGATATCGATTCTAGGAGGCCGCCGCCACCGTCGGAGTAATCGCGCATCCCCTTCGTCGTTCTTCGGTCGGCAAAACGGCCGCTCGTTGACATCGTCGTCGTTGATGCGCGAGGGGGGATCAATGAAAGGAAAGATCGATCGATCGGGTCGAAGAACTGAGGATCGAACTCATCTATATTATTCTCGATGCAGAAACGATCTGTACCGATCTGCAATTAATCATGCTGGGGAAGATGCGGATCGTATTGGGGTAGAAGTATTGCGTAAGTAAAACACATTATTTTTCAAATAATATAAATTAAAAGAATATTGTTAAGATGAAAGATATTTGTATATAAAAGTAAAATATTTTGCATATATTTGAGACATTAGAAAGTATCTTTCACATATTTTTATATTGTCTTTATTGCTTATTGTTTATTATTTTGAAATAATAAATTATTTTGAATTAAAAATTTTTTTTTAAAGGAGTTTATAATAATAACAATAGTAAAGACATCTCATAAATAATTCTTTTTAATTTTAAATGGAAAATACTTAATAAATATTAACAGCAATTGCTTGATCATAATTATGTGAAGATAACGTGAACTTTATCAAATTTTTTTTTAAATTGTTACCATTGCTAATTAGATTTTAATTTAAAAAAATATTTTGTTAAAAATATAAAATAATGGAATAGTTTTAGTGTAAAATTGTTTTATCATTTAATTTTACAATTTATTTAAAAAGTTTTTCAATGCTTGATTGAGATTTACTAGTCCAATTATTCAAGTTTTCCACTGGTTTACAAATATAAGAAATTAACAAAGTTAAACTATAAATTGTCAACATGTCGCATGTTTTGCGATTATTATTGCGAGAATGCAGTGAATGCGTTGCCCTCGTCGCGCCTCCGACAAAGGGTGATGTTTATCTGCAATATATCAATGTTAATCACCACTACGCGTGTTTGTTGCGATAAGCAACGCGTATCTGTCTATGTAGGATCGGTACTTCCTTTTGCATGCAGCATCGAACTTATTATTCCAATTGCATAATCAATCCAAATACTACTTTTTACGCCATTCCGACACGTGGGCTCCTTATCATCCTCCAAATATCATTATTATAAAAATAAATACAAAATAAATTGCTTGCCAATATAAAATTTTCTTTACAAATCAAGCAAAATGAAATAATCAAATAATAACAAAATTTTAGGTTTTTTTTCTCTTGTGCAGAAGAAAGTATATAAAAATAACCGATAAATAATTTTTTTTTTGCAGATTTTAATTTCTAATTTTTTTGTTTTGATAATGACATTATTTTCATTATGAATATAACAAATCAATCTCTATAATATTATATGCTAAATATTTATAATATATATTTTACATGTCAAATTTTTTGCAATCCTTCAAACGATATATTTTAACATATGTTCATACATAGATTTCATATTTTCTCGTAAATTAACAGGAAAACGCAGACAGCGAGAAATCCTGATTTTAACGAGCATATTTATTGAAGGGTCCACCATCCACCCATTTTTGTTTCGCGTGAAAAGAATCCTCAGGGGGTTTGAGGCACAGAAACCCCCCACAGAGACCAGTTAGGTCTTTCACAGATATGTGCAAATATTTTTTATGTGAATATAAGTGACATCGGAGAATAATGTAGACGAACATCGCACATTTCAAAGTATAATAAAATAATAGTTAATTTTACGATTACTTAAAATTAAATATAAACAAAAATTCTGAAAAACTTATCAATATCTTCGAATTACTAATATTAAATTATTATTTTTTTTTTTAATAAAAAATTTAAATTAAAAGACATCAAACAAATTCATTATTTATACAAAACATCATGTAAAACAAAAGTTACTTAAAACAGTATTTAATATGATGTATAAAATATTATACAAAATGTATCGCACATTACGTAATATAACAAAAGGGTTTTTATTAATTAAATTTCAACACGCGCTGGAAACAGAGCTTCAAACAAATATGCATTAGAAGTTTGCAAAATTATTAATTGCGCTATCTCTCTGTCAACTTTGCGAATATTACGTTAGACATGAAATATCCCTTAACACGATCGGGATCACACACAGGCGCGTACGTGCGTTTTCTGAAACGGTGCATGCTAGGGACGTAGCCGATCGATACGGACGCAAAAGGACGATGCCCGATTTCGATTTCCCTGCGAGAAGCGACGAATGCGTGATTGCCCTAAGGGTACAACACGTGCAATTATACAGGGCTGCAGATTTTCAGCAAGCAAAGCGGGGGTGCAAAACGCACGCACGCCGCCCGGCGGCTTTGATCGTTGGTCCAAAGCGAAATTATGCTGCTACCGGCGCTAACTTATTTGCATCTAGGTGGCAACTAAGTCAGCGACGTGCCTTGCATTAATATATATATATATATATATCGTCAAAACAAGACAGTTTGGCTTATATAAATTTAACAAGAGTTTAAATTTCGAAATCATAAATTTCTGTTGTTTAAATTATTGAATATTTACCTAGTTGCAAATTACTTGTTTTTTTTTGCAAATTTACTTGTTTTTTTTTAATGAGATCAAAGCCATAAATAAAAGTTATAAATGTTTAAAAGATAATTTTACAGGAAGATTATTTAATTATAAATTCACAATTATGCTCAAAATTAAGATAATTATTTGAGCAAAAAAGTTGAAATTTTTAATAAGAGAAAAGAGGATATTACGTTACCAAATTATTTAACATATATAATTTTTTTATCTGCATAAGAAAAAAACTTTCAAATCTGTTCATAAACAGAATAAAATTGTATTAAAGCAAATACATAAAAAATTAAAAAATACTGTTAAATTGTACAGAATGTTTTAATGTTTTATTTAACTTTTTGGAATATGTAATGCTTCAATCGCATGTACGATAGTTATCATTGGGGTTAAAAATATTTCAGGAACGTTTATTATTCAGACGTAATCTAAGCTACTCTGGTTTACTTTCTTAATCTGGTACCATGGTATGGCCTACTTCCCCTTAAGCTATTTCACATCAATGATGCTAGTCTAATTTATTCATAATAATCTAACTCTATATGTTTTTATTATTTTCAACAGAATAGATACACGGATTTGTTATATTTTCCGGGGCACCGAAATATCTCGGTTAAGCCCTGGCAGTTATCAATGAAGAGCCGGACATGAATTGGACATTCGAACGGTCATCACTGGGATTATTAATCATCCTTCTCCTGACATGCGGTATTAATTTAAACATAGATTTTGGTCTTCGCGTGAGAAGAAATGAAACGTCGCAACAAAAAAAGCGGCATAATTAAATTAATATAGTATAATAACTCTACTAGATATGAAACTATTAAAAATAAAAAATAATTATTAAATAAAAATAATCATTAAAGAATTAAAGGATTAATTTGTCAATTATATAACTTATTGATTTTCTTCTTATCATAAACAACATTCATAGAGCGTACATTTTTTTTAATTAAATTAATTAGTAGATGATTATCGGTTAACGTCTCTGTTAAAGGAAGTATTCTCGACACGACTTTTTAGAAATTCGTGTTTACTGGTTTTAGGTATCACAAGATCGATGACAGACGCGAAGGAGCCGATACTATTGAAAGTTGTCGCTCCACCGTCCCATATGGCTTTGTCCGGCGACGTGACCGTTTTTATCTTGGATTCGACGGAAACGGAATCCACCACGAACGTTATGTCCACGAACGGCACAAGTGGCATGAGGAAAGACGAGAAAGAGAAAATCGATCCGAAGACAAACGGAGTTAGCGCGGGTCACGAACCGCTCGTGCTTAGGTATGTAAAAAAGAGTCATAAAACTTAACAAACATGCACGCACGCAGTCGCAGCGTCCTAAAACATTCAGCTGTTTACGTGCGCTCTTAAATGCATCTCCCTAAATAAGCGAACATTAAAGTGAAGTAAATGAGATGTTACTTATAATTTCTCTAATTATGAGCGGCTGCAATTCGAAAACAATTTTTACAAATATTTGGTCCTAAACGATAATTTTTCTTTTATATCAAATTCTAAAAAATAGAGAAATTAATTGATTATTATTGATATGGACGTATTTTTCTTTTTTTTTTTTTTTTTTTTTTTTATATGTCTTCGTAAGTACGCGCAATAATTTCAGAGTATTATACGTCGATGGCCTCACGTCAGAATTGATCGGTGATTTCCCTTTGGATACCCTGCCGCATAAGGGTGAGAATATTTCTGTGATAATACCTTGTGGTGTCTTCTCGCGTGGCGGAATTTATACACTACGACTTCAGTACAAGTTCTCAACTCTGGCTGCCAGACACAACACTGCCATTACTGGGCTGCCCGAAATTGAGGTGAGTACGTCATCTCTAATATTAAAGCTTCATATATATCGTGCTGTAACACATTATCAGATACGTAAGTAATTTAATATACATATACAAGTTAAATCATAGTTAAGTGATAGTCGCGTGATTTATCGGTATCTTTAAAATGATCAATTATTTCTAGCACCTATCCGTACAAAACATTTTCTCTAATAGAAATCGAAGAAATTGACTAATATAAAAGGAGAGATAAAAGTCGAGATAAATTTTTTTTCGAGATTTGACCTTACGCACTTTCCTCCGTGGGTGACACAAAAGAATCGCGAAAGAATTTTAATGTCGACGCGTTTGCAATACCAGAACATCTAACAAATGCAAAATGAATGCTTTAGATGAGCAGTGCCTTAGACGTAAAGTGGCCCATCCCCTTTCTGCATCTGGATTCCCAACACTTCGGTACATATCCTAGCCAGCCGATAGTGGCTACCATAAAGTACAATAAAATTTCGTGTGTACCTGCCAACGGCGTTCCGGTGGCGGCTTATATTTTGCAACTCATATATTGCGGCACCACCGCGGCCGCCTGCGATCCACAAAACAACGGCCGCATGCAAGTAAGCGCTTGGTAGAAAAAGAGTAGTCAAGTGCGCAAAAAAATATGTCGGGAATGTCGCGTTCCACACGATATCTCCAGTCTTTTACATTTCGTCATTCCCTCGGATTTTCGTAGGTGCTCTATTACGAGGAAATAAACGGCTTCACCACGTCAAAGATCGTCAAGTTGAAATGCGAATTTTTCGGACTGGCCGGAAATTACGCGCTCAGATTAAAGGCCTCGGATGTCAATCCGTCCGCGCCGACGAGCAGCGCGTACATTAAGGTAATTAAATTTCTCCATTTAAATAATTATAGAGAATAATTATCAGGGAACGATAATTACAGAGATAATTACAGAGAATTACAGAGAAGATGGGAGGATTGATATCGGTCCTCATATTACCACGCGCTTATTCCATCGCGAATAAACTAATTCGATATTGATGGATACGCATTTCTCTCATTTCCTCGCAGGTGGAATGGTCCGATGAATTTAGCTTCAACGTCCACGCGAGGTCGATCTATCCCTGCGAGGGATCGGCGGGCATATCGGTCCTCTTTCAGTATCCCGCGTGTCGTCTTCAGGGCGATCGCGTGCGCGTTTACGGCCGCCTTCGGGCGGACGTGAGTTCCCTGGCGCCGCCGTCCGCGTTGCACTACGTGGCGGAATTGAAGGCGGCACCGGGCAAGCACTCGCTGAACTTCGACTGCGATATCTTCACCGAGAAGTTCATCGAGTATTGCTTCGTTTACGTGAGCCAGGCGATCACCGGCGCGATGGCAGAAGTGAAGCTCGCGTGCATACCGACCTTCCCGCTTCTGGGTGAGTGACATGCGAACGTTTAACAGCCACGGGCTACGGTCTCCACCCCCCCCCCCCCCGACAGATTTATCGCCTCGTAATTCACCTCGAGATCGCGCGCCGCATAGATTTTATCCTCTTAACACAAGCCCCGCGATGTTGCTTCCCGTTTGATGTAGGTCAAAATGAAAGATACGCGCGATACGTTTCCCAGTTGAAGTAAAGCTAAAGTACAGAATTAATTAATTTAGCTGAGAGATAAAGAGATTGCGAGAAAGAAACATGCGAGACAGAATATTCCCTCCCCAAGTTTAAGCGATGTTCGGTCGTTCGGCAAAGTATTCGACTTTTCAAACATCTCAATAGGGGGATTTTCTACCCTTCTTATTTTAATTATTAAGACACAGAGATTAATTATTAATACAGAAAACGACGCAGCCGGTTGGGGTCCCTGGAGTGCGTGGAGTCCTTGCAGCAGCTCCTGCGTGGGTGGCGTCCGTAATCGATATCGATTTTGCGACACGCCACCCCCGAAATACGGGGCGAAATTCTGCCAGGTGAATTCTAATGTCCAATAACGTAAAAGACGTGACAATCAAACGAGATAGTGACTAGAGTATTTGCTCGAAAAATGAAATAGGGAAGAGCGGTCGAGACGGAATCGTGCGGTGGCACTGGCAGGATCGATTTCCAAGAGGCGTGGAACACCGAGGGATGGGAGTGCCGGCACGGAACGACATTAGTGGCCGCAAGACCGGAAGTCACGGCTCAGATCGGCGTTCAGTGTCGGTGCGGTTGCATTATCAATTTTGATGATAAAGCCTTGAATAAGATTCTGGCGGCGAATACTCAGGCCTGTCCCGGCCGTTCCTTCTGGCTGCTGCAGGTAAATCTACTTTGATATCACATAATTCAGATTATTTTGTATTGAAAAAAAAAAATGACTTACTTCAGTTTTTAAAAATATCTAATCATATAATAAATATAATAAAATCTGCATCAGGCAAAATCGGATTACATTATTCGGCTGCATTTGGATCAAACGCAGTTTCGCTGCCCGGGGCAATATTTTCGTGCTCGCGACGGTGATTCGTTGAGTGCGGAACTTTTAACGGACATCGCGTTCGATAAGGGTGCACCCGCGACAGGAACGATATTCTCGTCCGGTGAAAGTTTGCTACTTGAATTCTTCAGCGACGAGCACGCCGCCTCGGCAGATACTTGCGTGGGTGGTTTCTTGGGACACGCGAGCATGTTTCGTAAGTGTCACAACTAGATATGTATAATATAAAATATCCAACAAAATCATTAATACATTTTTCTAATAGATATAGATATAAATAGTAATAATAGATATAAGATTGAATTATAATATCTATTAATACTGTTTAATATAATGGTGATAGATATTAAAAAGTGCTATGAATTATTAAATTATATAAATTGCTTTTATTTAGATCGTTTCCATATAATTGATATATGGAATATATGCATATAACTGATGGGATTCTTCTAGGAAAACTATATGAGAACAAGACATCAGCTTCGCTCCCTTCGGAAACAAATTCCACTCTGACTGTTGAGCAATGGATCTTCTGGGGGCCCGCGCATTTGGCGACAGCATCCCTTTTGATACTTATATTCTTTATATCTATTTTTCTAGTACTGCAATTTGCATTAAAATATAGAAAATACCATATCGCGGAAGACTTGGACACTCTGAGCGAGCATTCTGGTAAGTATGACATAAAGATTCGTATGTTAATTACTGATTATTAAAAATGGTCAAAGCCAATCCTAATTGGAATAGAAAAAACTTAATTAAATGAACACATTAGAATTAATAAATTAATAAATTAAATTAAATTAATAAATTGTTCAGGATGTAGTGATATGATGGTGGGGCGGGGAAAATCGATGTCTTCTACGACGCTAATCTCGGAAGTCGCGTCTCTAGTAGGTCTACCAAAGAAATGCACACCAAGACTGTCGAAACGAAAAATAGCACCTTGTGCGATGGAAGATGGTTATGATAGTTCGGAGACTTTGGCGGAGTGAGTAATAATTCATTGCACTTAATACATTAACATATAATATTAAGTTTATTGTATATTAATATTAAATTATTTAGTATTTTAGTGCATCATTAGCAAAGTACTTGACTTTTAATTTAATCGAATTTAAATATTTAATTTATTATTATGTAGACTCTTGTGTGATTTTACTTTATTTATTCTATTTCCTCTCTTTTTAGAATTATCGATCCGATTACATATTTTATCGTAATCTATTTTGTCGTTCTAAGGTATATTTATGATACGTAACAGGTACGAAGACGAAACAAGCTTGAGTTCGACTACTTTGAAGCTGCGAGATACCGAGGAAAGTTCGGAGAGGAGCGTGATACCGAACAAATTGCATATTGATGAACCACCGGTGACAGTATCGGCTGTTATGGCTATTGGTCAGCCGGAAGTAAAATATGCCCAACCAGTCAAGTAAGTATAACTCATCAGTTTGATAGAGAAATAATAAATTTTATAGCATTCTTTTATTTTATAATATTTTATGCTATCCATATAAATACATGTATATATCTAGTCATATTTTGAAATTTTCCGATACTCGAATGGACAGTTCAATGGTTTCTATGTTAAACTCACAGTTCTATGTTACTCACGTTACACAGATTACGCACTCTGGGATCTGTCAGTTCTGCAGACAAGCCGACGTTAGACAACGCGAGATGTCAAAGCACAGCGAGTGTTACCGAGAGCCCGCATATTGCAAGACTTCATCGCTACACGTCTAATCGTCTACAGTCTAAGGTAAAAATCTGATCTGGTTATTACATTTTATTTGAAATCATACAGAATAATAAAAAGAGAAGCTGGATTTCTTTCAATTTTGATAACGTAAGTTGGGATAATCATAACATAAAATAAACAATCTAAAATAATTAAATAATCAAATTGCATCAAGTGAAAGAATGATGAGAGATTTGAAGAGAAATCAAGCAAAAGATAAACTTCAATTTTAATTTGATTTTTTTATGCGCACACTATGTTAGAAAAGTTCAATAATTGCTGCGACTGAAAACTGTTAACAGGATTCATTGACAAACAGCCCATTATCGGGTACGTCCACATTACGCAGCGGTAAGGAGACGAAGGATCGGCGGAATCGCGAGCGACTACTTCAAAGACCGGGTTCGGAGTTCAGCCTGACAAATCCGGAGACGGATATGGAGCTCGACTATTACGATTACAACGTCGCGAACGCCGGCGCCGCGCCGGGTTCGTATCTAGGTATGGATCCAGCTTTTCTCCTATGGATACCCCCGTTGTCGATGTCCGAGGATTCTCAAGATCCGTCCGCGGATCGTCCGGATTGTTTTCAAGGCACAACGACAAGCCCGGCACTGTACCGACTGCCGGAGAGCACTGAAGGCGCGACTCTGACCCCGGCCGAGTATCGGCGTATACGACAGCAGCTCGCGTCTAGCATCGAGGAGGCTAGACCGAGCCTCGAGCAGCAACGCCAGGACTCGACGACGTCGTCCTCGTCGTCGTCGAAAAACGACTCGTCGTCAGGCGGTAGCCTGATCCTATCCGACGACAGCATCGGCGAGAGCAGAACCGCCAGATTGAACGAACGCTTGCTGCCGATCCACCGGATCCTGGAGGACTCCAGGACTCGAGTGAGCGAGGAGTCCCTGTGCAGTCAGCTCGCGAGCGACAGGACGCAATGCGCCGCCATTCCCAATCGCCTTCACGGTGCTAAGCCCGATCTTTCTCAGGAACAGACCGTTTCGAGGAGTGGTCGGCAGGACAATTATGTAAATATTACCGATGCTGGAGGCGTGATCAAATTGGAAGACAAATCGGAGAAATCGAGACAGATCTCGAAAAGGCAGCCTGAAGAAGCGTTACTTCATCATAACATTTCGAGGTCGCATGTGAATCAAAAGGCGAAGGACGTTTCTCAGGATGACAAGAAGAATCGTTACTTCAAGAACGAGAACACGTCCAAATTCTCCGGTAAATCGGCGAGCTCGAAGACTCAAGGATACGCGGACGGCAGGGACAGGGATCTTCAGAGTGCCAAAGATCTCAGATCGGACATTCTGACAAATCTAAATGTAAGCGGCCCGTGCAAGTACCGAGACTTTACGCAATTTACGCAACCGCAGGAGACTAACAAACTCTCGGATTGCACTAACATTCCGATGATCGAGTTCTCGGGGCCGCGACTGAACTCACCGGCGACACCTCGGAGACTGACGACGGACAACTTGAACATCAGTCTGTCCAAAAAGAAAGAAATTCAGAGCCCGGATTACGGGGTCGAGAGCGACATGAAGACGGAATCGCGCGATTCCTTTTACGATCTGATCCGCGAGAACGAGGACGGTATCAAATTCGCGGACGATGACGACGAGTACATCGATAACAGAGCGAATCTGTGAAACCTACATTGTAATTGCTAACATATGGAAACAAAGCTGCAATAAAGATTACCGCTACTCTACGGCTGAGAATCGGCGATTTCTTCTGAATAATTGAAATTTAAATACAAGGGAATTTAAAAAAAACACGTTCTGACACGTTAAACGTTGTTACATGAATATCTTTAGATCTTGTGTTAGAAAATAATGTAACATTTTAACTTAATGTAACTTAATGTAACTTATTATGTATTATTATATATTATATTACTCATTAAATTGTAAAATTATTTAATTATAATTATTAATAATTTAAACTTAATTATAATTATTAATAATTTAATCTTAAAATATTTTTTATCGTAAAATTTTATCGTTAAATCGTGATTAACGTGTCAGATCGCATTTCACGATTATAACTTTTTCTAACGGAGGCGAGAATAATTGCTCTAATCGCTATTTTTGTAAATGTGTAGAATATTTTGCACGAGATATGTAAATATGCTCCGTCCATCGCATTGAACTATAGTCATCTCGAAAATTTGTAACCCTGCCTCGAATACCTCGCTATTCTTAATTATATATTTCTTACAAATCCCTAAGGAAACCCTTTGCGTTCGAAATATTGTACAAATCATTAGAAAGCATTGTTAATTAACTAAATAATTAGATTTTATTGTATTTAAATCTTCGCTCTGCTAATTTAAATCTTCAGAATATTTTGAGATTTGCACACAAAATCGGCGCACTAGCATTAAACGCACCGTGTATTCGTTGTAATTTCTGTGATATGTTGATGTTTTGTGGAATTACCGCGTGTACACGATATACAAATAAACATTTCTCGTATGTAATAAACATACATCTATCAAATTGTCATTAATTATTAATTGCATAAATAAATACTTCGATAAGGTAAGTAAATTTTTTATACAATATAAAATAAAAAAAATTCTCATTTTTTATCGCAAAATATCGTATATTAAATTTTAAAATATTACCGTAAATATTTCATATAGGAAAATATAATTTAATTTTATTTCAAAATATCTTATAAATTGACAGAATTTACTAAATCAATTTATTAAATAAATAATTTACTACATCAATTTATCAAAAAAACTTTTAAACAACTGTAAATTTCAAATTTCATATTTTATAAAAATCTTTATTTGATTAGTTGTAAGGTTTCTGTAAGTCAGTCATTGATACCTTGGGGGCGTTTGGTATATCAAATTTCAGAAACTCCGAATGTATCGAATTTCATGATTCGATAATTAATCTGGCACTGTAATGAACCGAATTAGTCGAATCGGAACTGCTGTTTTGTATCGATCAGTATGAGAATATTAAACGTGTTAGGATTTTTCGGCGTTTTTTGGTTTAATTCCAATCAATGCAGTACGTAAGATAGTTACAGCCCTTGTACAATAAAATAAAAAACTGTTTTTGTAAAATTCAGTTCACATTCTAACCATGTTATTACTATTTCTATCTGTTAAAAATAATTTTAATACTACAAAATTATATCATTTTAACAAAAAAATATTCAAAATAATAATTTAATTTATTGTTCTTATATTTAATTTATTATCAGTGTACATATCACATTAACATTTTTATAGACGCCTCTTCTGTTATGCAAACATATTTGGAAGCACGAGAATGCAAAGATGTGGAAAGTACAGTAATGCGTCTTAAGGATCATCTTTTTTGCGATTATGATCTGAGTGTCCAACCGAATTATCCCAAAGCAACTAATGTCACCATGCAATTAATGCCACAGTTAATAACATTCGTAAGTGTCTACAATTATAAAAAGTATTACATTATATAAATCATCATTACACGGAATGATTATAGAAAAATTAAAGTAAGTTGAACATCATTTTTTAAATATAAATATTATAAAATTTTTGTAAATTGTAATTTTATTTTCTGATATATGAAGGCATTTAAAAAAAAATAATAAATGTCTTGTTACTATTTAAAATGTAAACTTTTACAGCAAATTCATTAATTTCTTAACATTTTATAATTATCTATTGCACGAAAAAAATTGAATACAGAAATTTCATTTACAGACCGAACACAATAGTAAATTATCACTTGATTGCTGGATATCATTTGTAAGTGCTTAATTTCTTCATTATACCTTGTTCTCATTTTAGTTAAATATAGTATAGTTAAATATTTAATAGATTCAATCTAATGAAATATTTAATTACATCAGTTTTGGTCGGATCCGCAACTATCTTGGACATCAAGCGATTACGATGAGATTACTTTTATTCATGTAAACAGCTGGGAGATCTGGACACCCACATTGTTCATCGTAAATTCGTAAGTTGACTTTCTTTAACAATTGAAAGAAAAATCTTTTTCAATTAATCCTTTTTGTTTCATGATAGACATTTTATATTAATCTTTTTAAATTTATTTTTAGTCAAAACGACATGATATAAAAATTTTTTAAATATTTTTTAGTGCTGATATGTCAAGTGATCAGTATTATTTTCCTCCAAGAGACTGCTTCCTCTATAAGGATAATTCTATTTTGTGCGTGTTCGCGACAAAATTTATTTCCAAATGTGCTCCCGATTATACTTATTGGCCATACGATAAGCATCACTGTCGCATCACATTTATGTCATGGGTGAATATAAACGAGGAAGTCCATCTCCAGATAGACGAAAATGGGGTATGTGCATAAGTAGAAAAATTATTTAAATCTCTAATTATTTGATTTACTGATATATATGAAGTAGTAACTGTTAATTCCTCTGCACAAATAATACCTTTTTTACAGATAAATATTATATTTTATCTTGATAAAATTTGAGTTTAATGAGAAATTTTTTTACTACTTTATATTTAGTATTTATATTGTTTTTTTAATTACATGTCTTTTATATATATATATATATATAT